ATTAATGCAATGGTTGTTGTACTTTGATTACTATACTGCATATGTTGTGATACTTGACATGACGTCCTCCACCCCAGAACGTATTCCGCCGTTCTCGGTTTTGGGGTGTGACAATTTATCTTTTCGGTTTCGAAAGCCGACTTTTGTAGAGCCCGGTTTCTCAATAAAACTCCCGGTTTTATTAGAAACGAACGTTTTAGGAAACGAATTGCTGCCCGATTATCATCAAAAGATGTGAGTGTATAGTCACTTTCATTTTACACATAGATATGAAGTATTTACCTTATAATACGTGCTATGTGTAAATATATTAATTGTTTATTTGAGGTGACTGTTGAGTTGATGTTTTATACAAGTTTTAAACTGTATATGTATTTTTATCTACAAATATGTTGGGTAGAACATGGGTAGATAGTGATGTGTGATAAAATAAAAGTGATGAGAGGCCTCGTTGTGATTTGTGATTCAGTCATCTAGCGGAGTTTGGATGACGACCACGGACTTTCTAGACAGTCTAGTGGGAAACATTAGCAGGTCCGCAACCTGTAGGTGTTAATGAACTTGGGTGTTTATTCGTTGTACTCCATCCTCCTCATGGTTGCCTTTAGGACATGTATGGATGAGGAAACCCCTTAGCAGTAGTGTCCATCCCGATGATATTCTTTAGGCTAGGTCCCTTGTGAAAAGTGTTTAGGGACGTAAAGTGAGGATAACGGGAACGGGTAATCAGGGTTAATGTTGATTGGTGAACTTAATAAGTTTATTATTACTATGGGTTGAAAACCCTATATGCTCACCAGGCTCCCAAGCCTGACCCACTCAGTTTTTTTATGATTACAGGTAGTGGACTCCGAGCATAGTCGGAGGATGACATGAGATTTTTGGATTATAGGCCAGTAGTTGTAAATAACTGTAGTAAGGCTTATAATGTCTTGTTTATGCTTTTGATCTGTATCGGAACATGACATCCCGAGGTTTTGATATATATGGAAAATATATACCTTCTTAATGAAGGGTTTTGATAAACTTTTATCATATGTTGTTTGGGGACCAATTCCGCAACATCTTTTGAAAAGATTTCTCTGATTTTGTTTTAAAAATCATAAATTAAATCGGTCTTTTCTGGCCGAGAAATTAGGGGATGTCACATCGGACAAGATCTGCAATTTTCAAGTTGGTTTTTAATTTATGTATTATCTTTTAATTCATCTAACAATATGACAATATACTTCTATAAATAAGACCTGAACGCGAAGGATCAAACTGATTTTTGGATGAAACTTGGTAAACAAATAATAATAATTGAAGTTATTTTTTGTGACTAATAAGCATATATTTCTCAATATCATTTGTCAATTCGTTTACTTTGGATTTTACTGACAAGTAAGAATTAGTTCTAATCATCATATTGTTTATCTATCAAGTTTGTAATATAACACCAACTTCCTCCCTCCTTCATCCGCATACGATAAACACCGGGAACTTCCACCACCCTTCGAGCCCTCGGTGTATCTCCTATTGCCATAGCTTTTGGCCCCTTCTCATTCTCGGTCAACTCTCTCGTGAAATGGATGAAAGTCTCTTTCTATTGACTTGTAGGTTTTTAGAAGGTTTATGTTTAGTAGTGGAATGGATGAAGGTTTATAAGATGTAAGTGTGGGGAGGAGAAGACATAGGAAATGAAAGGATAGGTGGGTGGGTGTTTCTTTTTCCTGTATATAAAAAATAAGTAACTGAAATAAAATAAATAAACAAATAACAGTTAAATATAATAACAAAAGTCAAATAGTGATTTCATATTGTTTTAACGATTCAAAATAGATGGTGTCAAACCCATGCGATAAATAAATAACATAAAAAATATCAAGGACGGTCCAAGTCAAAATCGAAAAAGAAAAAACATGACTTTATTCAAAATAATCATATACAAATAAGGACCATTTTGTAATTTACTCAAATCCATTTTACAAATTTATCTAAAAGTAAATACCATATATTATTAGATATATCGTTTATATACAATTTTCCTTGATACACAAGTTTCTTCTTATTAGTCATAGTAGTATTATTAGACTAGGTTGCCAATTTCCATAAATATGATTATTATTATTATTATGTATACATTACACCATTTGTCAACAAGAAACCTTAATCAATTTCAAAATTTAACATGGTATCATACCCTAATCGATCTCGATCTTTCATTTCTCCAATGATGAATTCCTAAAAGCAACTAAATAAGTCGGCCATTCTCCCTCTCTTTTTTTCTTAGTTGCTTCTTCCATATTCGTAAAAATGTGGCTAGTTAAACCAAAAGACTGGAAATCGGATGCGCAAAAAGTTTTGTTACCATATATATATATATATATATATATATATATATATATATATATATATATATATATACTATGACATATTCGGAAAGCACATGTTAGTGTGATTCCAAAAATATAAAATTTGTAAAAATCGGACTTCATATGAAAGAAATATGAATTTTATAAAATATAATAATCAACCACACGTAAAAACTTACGTCGAACAAAATTACAAAGAAATCGGTTGATTTTACCTAAAGTCCTAAAAAGGAGAATCATAATACTCCTTGAGATACGATTTTTGAGACGCGGAAGACAAAAAAACAGCGCTTGTATGAGGGAGTTATGATTTTTATAAAATAATTTTGGAATCAACTAAAACAATCTAACTGAAAGTTGTAGTACTCGCCGAGACCATCACGTGAGTATAAAGAACGTCGAAAACGGAGCTCGTACGTAGTAGTTACAAAAATTTCAAAATCCATAAATTTATGTGCGCGTCACGCGCGCTACGTGTAGCACACACACTGACACCGGATTCACGATGATACGAGTGACGTGGCCCAAGAGAGACACGTGTCCGTGCCCGGGTGGAGCCAACGCATACACGCGCGACGCACACCCTTAAAAATACATGATGCGCGTCTCAAGACTTGCTATAAATAGCAGGTCGGGGTCAGACCATTTCCTCACACCTCTCAAATCCTCTCTCTCGGTCCTTGAGCCTCTTGAGTGATTACCGAGTTTCAACGTGACGCTCCCGAGCTCCTGAAAAGCAGGCTAATAGGATGAGTTCACGACCCCACTTTTACATTTCTAAAATTATCATTAGATATTATATCATAATTTGTCATGCAACATTGAGATACTCGAATAATTAGGATAATATTATGCCTGGTAGTCACTCTGTCCAAATGTCATGGATAATATTATACTTAGTTGTTATACTGCACAAATATTTAGAATAATATTATGTCTGATAGTTACTCTACCCAAATCTTTAGGATAATAATATGTCTAACCGTTACTAAGACCAAATTTGTCAGATAACGTTGTATCTAGGCAATACTCTTCCCGAATACCCATTCGATCATGTCCCTTCATGGTATCATTTAACTTATATTTTCACCAAAGGGTTGCCTAGAGTTCTATTCGATGATTCCAGCAACAGTCTCAATATTTGGTCACCTACAACTTCAATTGTGAGGGACCATTAGATATACCTTACCTAGTCACGTTTATTTATTTATTTTACACATGTTTCCTTGGCACACAAGTTTGTTTCCTTGTTATACAAGTCTCCTGTATTGGTATTATTATCAGATTAGGTTATTATTTCCATTATTATTATTATTATTATTATTATTATATTACACCATTGGTTAACGAGAAACATCAAGAAGTTAGAGAATCTTACATAAATAATATTTTCTTTTATTAAAAATCTTGATTGTAGCAACGTATACATCAAATTTATCTGTTTTGGAGTGATAATGAGTCACGTTGTCCACTATCGGGTTGACATGTTTAACTTTGAAAATTTTAATCCACTCTAACTTGCATAATTAAATAAACAAGTTGAGAATTCTCAATCCAATTAAATGAATTAAAATCATATTTACATGCTTATTTTTTAAAGCCCAACATTTTTAATAATGAAATGAACTAAGGTTTATCCCACTTAATTTTTTTTAAAACAAATAAAACTTACACCTAATTAAATATGTTCTATGCTCTAATAATTGTTAAAAAAAACTACATAAAAAAGTTACAAACTTCAATAATAGTTTAAGTTTGAAAAAACAAATACAACCACCAACACATACACAAAGATAAATAATTAAAATATTGATTGTTAACTATTAATATATAAGAAATAATAAATGAAAATAAAATATATATTCTAACGGATTTACGAGTTGAAATAATGAATTAATAATGTTGCAGAAAATTTCAACCCAACTTATTAATTATTAGACCAAGGCTTCCAATCGTTTTTTGCGAGTTCAGTAAGTAATAGCATCTCCTTTAAAATTTTTCATAATCATATAAACCAATCGCCACATATTTTGTTTACTCATAAAATATGTCATGCTATGTGTCAAATTAAATCCATGTCAAAACTCAGAGAAACAAAATAAAAATCTTTAATCTAATTTGGTTAATTGTGGGTCTCCCATTGTGTATCTGTTGAATTAAAAGATGCAAATTTTTAATTGAATTAGTAAATGATTGAGCGAAACTTGATTTTGAATTCATCTATATTTATTGAATTGTTGATGATTTTTACTCATCGTTGATTGTATTTTATATTGATTTCCGTTTGTTTTATGGTTTTTCCGAAAATAAAATAAGTAAATGCTTATAATATTAAAGTCAAAATACAAAAATCAAAATATTATTATAACTCGATAGGAAAAACTTGTCGTAAACAATAAACATAATGATTATCTCATTTTTCCTTACCTATCATTTTCTAAATTCCTAAAATTTTTAAATGAAACATTCGAAAAAAAAAAATCCGCGGCATATCCATCACCAGAATTTTCAACGCCATTTCGCAAACATCTAATCTATCATCTTCATCCACATCATTTTCCCGAAGGAAGAACATAGAAATCAAGGAAAATTACTCGATAACATCTATCTATCAAATTTCGTACGTGCATAATCAAGTCAACCAGTATGGAAGAAAATGAAGAAGTCGAAAAAACGCCATTGACAGACACCGTCGTCTACATTTGTATAATTGCAGGTTCTGCTGGTTTAATGTACGGATACGATACCGCGGTTTCAGGTACTATTTCTTAATGTCTATCAATTTATAGATGCAATTCGCAGAATTACATTAAAATAGTTGTAGAATATATATTAAACCTAACCTGACCTTGTGATCGATCGTATTTGTAGGAGGTGTAATGATGATGAAGCCATTTCTGAAAAAATTCTTCCCGGCGATTCTGTTGAAGATGATAGATAACGATATGAAACAAGACCAATATTGTAGATTCAATAGCCATAGATTAACGGCGTTTATCTCGTCGATGTTCATCGCTGGATTGGTATCGTCGTTGTTAGCTGGTCGTGTGACGAGTTTGATCGGACGAAAGCTTAGCTTGATTACGAGCGGAATCCTGTTCTTGACCGGAAATGGCCTTGAAGTTTTCGCACAGAACCTCGCTATGCTTATCGCCGGCCGCCTCTTCGTAGGGTTTGGAGTTGGCTTCGCTAATCAGGTGTGCACTTTTTATATCATGTAAGTCCCCTTAGGAATTCGCATAACAAATTAAATAATTTTTATTATTATGGTAATTAAAAACATATATGATTAAATAAACAAATGAGAATTCAATAAAAAAAAATCGAAAAGTTTTATTTACAAATACTTATAATCTGTTTTCTACAAGGCTGCTCCGGTTTACATAACAGAAATGGCACCATCAAAATGGCGAGGAACTCTCAACACGGCTTTCCAATTCTTTGTATGTTGCGGGAGTGTACTTGCCAGCATAATCAATTTCGGTGCGAGTCACTCAAACACCAACCTTGGCTGGCGGCTCGCGCTTGGATACGCAAGTCTACCGGCCACCCTATTAATTGTCGGGACTATCTTTATCCCCGACACTCCGTCCAGCTTGATCCAACGGGACAAGCTAGACGAGGCGTTGACCACACTGTCCAGAGTGAGGTCAACTAAGGCGGAAGCCGAGGCGGAGCTAAAAGACCTGGTTAGCTCCACTGAGGCCACCAAGTTGAATACCCAGAATCCGTATCTAAAGATATTGGAGCTGCGATACCGGCCACAACTAATATTGACCGTGGCGATTGCGGGTTTTCAGCAATTGACTGGGGTGGGTATGGTGGCGCTTTATGCACCGGTGGTGATGAGGACTATCGGGATGGGGACGGAAGAGTCGTTGTTAGCTGCGGTGGTGACCGGGTTTGTGAATTTGGTGTCGGTACTCATGTCAACTTGTATGGTTGATAAGATCGGAAGACGGTTTTTGTTTATAGGGGGTGGTATACAAATCATCTTCTCTCAGGTCTGCTCCTATTTATGAAAAATAAATAAATAAAGTAAAGCAAAAATTAAATGAAAACCCAAAAAACCAACCCTTATTGGTTTTTGTTTATAGACAATTTATGGAAAAAAAACCTTTTTATTAATTTTGAGAGTATTAAAACCCTCTCATAATTTCACTATAAACAAATAAAAGAAAATCCTATATTAATTATTAAGTATGTTAAATCCTCCCATTGTTTCAATCCATATGAAAAAACCAGATTTCCCTCGCCTCTTGAAAAAGGGACGAAGAAACTGGAACATACAAGGACAAACTGGTCATTTCACATGGACTTAATAGATGCACCGTTAAGTTAAACAATTCATTGATAAATCCAAACAATATAAAAAAAAACTCAACCAAATCGAACCATGATCACCCCTGTTATTCAAACAATTGAAACAAATCAAATTGAAGAACTTACTTATAAAAGAAAAATCAAATGAAGGTATTTATCGCGTGCACACTAGCCATTCAGTCACAAAATCGTGATCGAGGGGTTTCCAAAAAACTACGGTGTGGTGGTCCTAGTGCTAATGTGTCTCATATCATCGGCATTCGGATGGTCATGGGGCCCGCTTACATGGCTCGTCCCGAGTGAAATTCTACCAATCGAGGTCCGTGCAGCTGGAACCGGCATAAGCGTTGCAACAAATTTGTTAATCACTTTTATCCTGGCTCAGTTATCGATGGCGATGTTATGTTATATGAAATTTGGGTTGTTTTTGTTTTATGGTGCCACGACTTTGCTTATGACTATGGTTATCAGTGTCTTTTTACCCGAAACCAAAGGGGTCCCACTTGAATCGATGGAGAGTGTATGGAATGAGCATTGGTTTTGGAAATGGGTTCTTTCCAGTTAGATTCTTTTGCAAATGTTTAATGTTTAATTTCCCTCCAAATTTAGCAACGGAAAACAGTTTGGTAGCAAATTATGACACACAATTGTGATGGGTAATCATTCTGCAACGAACTCCATAGCGTCTTTCTATGTGATTTGGCATCCGGAATGCTTTCCCTTCGAATTTAGCAAAGGGATACAAACATTGCTATAGACAAATAGACAATCACTACATGTCAGAATTACTAGGAAAGTTTTGTAGTTGTTTGGAATTTTTCTTGTAGAGTTAAATCAACATAGAATGAGATGAAATATGTCGCAGTTGTTTTGAAAGGATTTAGAATGTTTTTAAGAGAAGATGAAAGGATTGAAAGAAATGTTCTGTAATATGGAAATCAATATTAGAAAAAATAACAAAAAGAATTGTAAAAAATGGACCATGCAGGTCTCGAACCTGCGACCTTCGCGTTATTAGCACGACGCTCTAACCAGCTGAGCTAATAGGCCGAATCTGACACATTTTAATCAAAATACGTTAAATAGTTACAAATCATCCGACTATGGTTTCAGGTTCTGTTGTCCTAGTCAATCTTAATCATAAGTTTTTGTTTACATTTATAGTCTTTATTGCTCATTGCTTTTTTCAATTTAATTGAAGTGGTGAAGGTTGGATTGGTCATTGAAAGTTGAAACTAACATTAAATGGAGTAACTAGGATTCAATCTGCAATGGAAATTGCAGACTTGGGATGTTATTCAAGAGATATACTGAAAGTCAGTGATTTTTCGTTGGGGGGGCCTTACACACTGTCATATGATAGTGACATGATGAGACATATAGATTTAGACTATATACAAATACACTACTCGATCATACATGCAAAAGTTCATACTTTTATACCATGTAGGTTTTGAACATGTGATCTCTTTGTTTATTTTAAAAGGCTAATTAAATTTATACATTTTGTTTGAAGTGAGACTTGAACTTTTAACATTTAGCCGAAGGTCATCAATCAAACAATAGTATTTGATTGATACTACTAGGCCGAAGAAAGGAACTTTTTAAATAGTTCACAAAAAAAAAAAAAATTATATATGTATTTTTTCATGTCATAACAATTTTAATCTTCATGATAGTCTAAAATCAATGCATTCAACGGAGTCACCTAATTAGTTATGACCATTGGTTATTGGTATCTTTTTGCCTGAAACCAAAGGACTCCCACTTGAATCGATGGAGAATGTATGTAATAAGCATCAGTTTAAAGTGGGTTGTTTCTGGTTAGATTTGATATCGATGGAGATAAAAGTGTAACATCCTACGTGTGTTATATATCTTGGCTTTGCATCTTGAATGATTCCCCTCCAAAATTTTGTGCCATTTTTTATATTCCCTCCAAAATTAGCAACGGACTAGAATTTCTTAGCAAATTCCGTCACAAAATTGATTGGGACAATTACTGTGTAGCGAACTCCATGGGAGAACAGCTACAGATTTTGATTTTTTTAGCAAAACTTTGTAGTTTCAAAATTTTCTTGTAGTGGTAAATAAGTATAGAGATGAAGTATGTGGCTACCGTGTGGTCGATTGTTTTGAAAGGATTTAAATGTTTGTTACAAATGGTCCTGTGTTTTGAAGGAAAGAGGGTAGATGTTTGTACTTTGTATAAGATAATCAAAAAAGCTTAATATGGCCCATGCAGGTTTCGAACCTGCGACCTTCGCGTTATTAGCACGACGCTCTAACCAACTGAGCTAATGGGCCGATTTTGCCTGTTTTGCACATATTCTATACAAATACATATCTCAAGTGGTTTTAATGATTTACCCCAACAACACCAGTACTTTAGACTTGTTTGTAATTAATAATTAATAAATATTTCTTATAGATTTAGATCCTCTCTTTTTTTTTTTTTTTTTTTTTTTTTTTTGCCAAATTACTCATTTATAAAATACTATACGTTTATGAAAGCAGTTATTACTTAAATATGGTATATTTGGAAATTTTAAATGTAGAAAAGTTTCATAAGGTCATTAAAAAAACATGAAAACTAGTCGTACTTTTGAAATATATAAAGTTAAAAAAACATCACAACTTAAATCAATAAGTAAGAAATAACCTTTTCGTTACAAGTCATTACAAAAGAAACGCAAACCAAAAGCAAAATAGTAAAATGTACACATCTAACTCCAAGTATCTAACTAATCCATACAACAATCAAAACTCGTCTAACAATAGCGAACAAGTTTCAAAATTCAAAACTATTTATCATCCGCGAATACTCTGATAACAAAGTATATATATATATATATATATATATATATATATATATATATATATATATATATATATATATATATATATACCAATGATCCGTATTAATGGCATACTCTTGGGCCGTCCCAAACGACGTATGAAACGCTGACTCATTAATGATTTCGACATTTTCATCATCAAAAAACAGCCAACGGTTATGACTTTTCACTAGACTCACGTAATGCCCTTGGTTGGGCCCACTGCCAACATGGACAACCACCGCAAATAAAGAATATTCAGAGTCAGATGTTGCTTTGTGTTTGTGTTTGTGTTTGGTAGTTTTAGCTCCAATGGAAAGACGACACAATATGATAACTTTTTGTATATTTCAAGCTATTCCATGTATTTGAATCGCTTTAAATGGATCACTAATATGTCTGGTGCCTTTTTTATATTCATCTTTTTTTTCTGCTTCCTACAAGCTGTCAAAATAACAACGTACTTTACCTTTCACTCTTAATATCAATAGGGTAAACTATACGGATGATCCTTATGGTTTATGGTAATCTGCGTGTTTGGTTTCTAACAACTTTTTTTTTAACTTAGAACATCCTTATATTTATATTTTTATTGCACGCTTGGTCCCTATCCGTTCTAAAAAGACTGATTTACCCTTATTAGTTTCTTTTATATTATGCACAATTATCAATTAATTAAAAAGTATATATTAATTAAATGTGAAAAAGATATTAATTAAATGTTAAAATTCGATTGGTCCCACCACCCCATTACTTACTACTCCACCAACCCCACCTCACACGACCACACCCCCACCATCTTCTTCTCCGGTAAACAACACACAATTTCGTCTTCTCCGACGAACCACCCATAACCCCGTTTCATCCTCTTTCTCCGACCAAAACACCGCCTTCCCGCTTGCCCGCCCCCTTCGTGTTTCTGGCAAGATCCATAACCAAGCTCATAACTACCCATCAATTTTATGAAAAAAAAAACACAAAACCAAAACCAATATCCAATGAAATTGAAATCTCAAAACAAGAAAATATGATGAAATAAAATCATAAAATAACACACAGAATCTAAATTACAACCCAATCGATGAACTTAATGTTTTAGATTTCACACCTTAAGCCATCAAATCCAAAAAAAATCCCATAAAAATATTTTCAGCATTTGGTTTCGTTAAATAGATGAGAAAGGAGGAAATGAGGGGAGTGGAGAGAAGCTGAAACCAGAAGACGGTGATCTCTATTGATCTGGCTTTCAGATTTCATTATCTTTTATTTCTCCTGATGCAACGACACTCTAATCACCAAAACCTAGCCGTCTCTGGTTACTTTCTTCTTTCATTTTTTTTTCTCCTGATTGACAACAAGGTAAAGGGTTTTAGAATCCAGTGATGGTCGACGAGGACTGAAGCAATGACGGTGGTGGGTGGACTTTCACTGGCGACGATAATGAGCTGAGAGATCTTTTTTGCAGCACAACCACCGGAAACCACGATCCATGGTTTTGATTTCACGATGGTGGCTTTAGGAATGGTCGACAGTCTGTCGGTTTAAGGGCAGGGACGGTTCCACTATGGTGCCTATAGTGGCACCAGCAACTCCTGTTTTTTCAGATACAATGTAAAAAATTTCAAAATTTTTCGTTTTTTCTACAATTCTGCCACTACGTAAAAGAAAAAATGTGCCACCGGCAACACCTACTATGAAATCCTGCGTCCGTCCCTATTTAAGGGAGTTCGATGGTCCGGTAATGGTGGATTCCGTCAACAGTGCTTCATCTGTCACATTTGAGCAAGAAAGAGAGAGACAATAGAAAAGGAGGAAAGAGATGCAGCTCGATGTTGAAGTTAAAGGAGGGATAAAAGGATGATGCAAGTCACGGTGGGGCAGGAGGAGGTAGGAAGGAGGAAGCTGACAACGAAGAAGGTTGAGGGACTGGATCAAACATCCAAGAGAGAGGGACGTAAAGGGAGTGGGTTTTGGTGGTGGGCCCATATGGATTTTTTATTAAATAGTTTTTTTTCTAAACAACAATTAAATAAAAAATAATTCTATAATAAAATTATAAGGGTAAAATTGTCTTTTTATGTTAATAAGGACCAAATACGCAACAAAATAAAGTTTTAGGAATATTCTGAGTTAAAAAAAAGTTTCAAGGGACCAAACACGCAAATTATACTAAACCACATGGGAATATCGTGTAATTTACCCATATCAATATATTTACGCATAATAGCAACCTACTTTACTCTTTTTACGAATATAAACAATGTATTTTGCTTTTTACCAGCAATGTACTTGCATTTTTTTTTGTAACGTCCTAAAAATTTATGACCAAAAATTTCATTTTTGTATTAATAACACAATAAACCAAACATGTTTATAAAATTCATAAGGGAAATCAGAGTATGTCAACAATCATCCAAAAAATACATTAGGATCAAATAAGGCGGAAAATCATGGTGTGTGCGATGC